CCGCGGGCTCAGGCAATCCACTCACCTCAGCCTCCCAAAGGCATGGGATTACAGGCTGAGCCACCGAGCCCGGCTCATTTTTTACTTTTTAAAACACTGGCACTCTCACATTTTAATCTTTATTAAAATAAGATTTGGAACTATTTTTTCTTCCCCATGATTACAAGACTTCTAGCTGTTACTTGTGGTGGTACCTATAAACACATTATGTTTACAATCTGCCTCATTTGACAGAGGCTCTAAGTGACTTACAAGATTATATTGTGGTTGGGTGTGGTGGCTCACACCCATCATCCCAGCACTTTGGGAGGCAGAGGTGAGAGGATTGCCTGAGTTCGAGACCAGCTGAGGCAACTTGGTGAGAACTCCTCTCTGCAATAAAAAAATTAGCCAGGTGTGGTGGTGCATGCCTGTAGTACCAGCTACTTGGAAGACTGAGGCGAAAGGATCGCCTGAGCTCAGCAAGTCGAGGCTGCGGTGGCCATGAGTGTGCCACTGCACTCCAGCCTGGGCAATAGAGTGAGATGTTGACTCAAAAAAAAAAAAAAAGAAGAATACTGTAAAATGAATAAGGTATATTTTTTAAAAAAGAAGCCAGACACAGTGGCTTACACCTGCAATCCCAGCACTTTGGGAAGCAGAGGTGAGAGGATTACCTGAACTCAGGGGTTCAAGACCAGCCTGAGCAACATGGTGAGACCTCCTCTCTCCAGTAAATCAAAAAATCAGCCAGGCATGGTGGCACATGCCTGTGGTTCCAGCAACTTGGAATGCTGAGGTGGAAGGATCACCTGAACCCGGTAGGTCAAGGCTGCGGTGGCTGTGAGCATGCTACTGCACTCCAGTTTTGGCATCAGAGTGAGACTCCAACTCAAAAGAAAAAAAACCAGTATCAGAGAAAATAAGGGGAGAAGATAAGCCCCTAGGAAAAATAATATGCAATAGAAAATAGTGCTTACAGATGCAGTTTGTGGTTACACAAGAGTGTGAATGTACTTAATCCCACAGAACTATAACTGTATGCTTAAAAATGGTTGCAATGATAACTTTTATGTTATATATATTTAGCCACAACAAAAAATTTCAAAAAAAAAAAAAGAATACAGTCATATGTGGAGCAATCATGTCTCTTATTCATCACTGGTATGAGTATAAAATGATACAACTACTGAGAGCAGGTGTCTCACAATTTGTCATAAAACTGTAGTCTACTCTAAGATCAGCAAATCCAGGTATCCATGAGTAAGTGAACAGGTAAATAAGTACTGGTATATTCATACAATGGACTACTACTCAGCAATAGAAAGCAATTACTGATATAGCGACAACATGGATGAATCTCAGAACCATGCTGAATGAAAGAATCTTTACCATATGATTCCATTTATTTGAAATTCTAGAATACATAAAATTAATCTTTGGTGAAAATAACTCAACCTCTAGAAGGATTCATGCATTACATTGCATGTAAGTTTTACCTTAAGAGGAAAAAAAGAACTGTTAAACGATAATTAAACTCTAGTTAATGATACACATGCTGAGGTAAGTGAAGAAAGCATACTTACATCTACATTGAAATGTATCAGGGCCAGGCACAATAGCTCATGCCTGTAATCCCTGCACTTTGGGAGGCAGAGGTGAGAGCATTGTCTGAGCCCACAGGTTGAGACCAGCCTGGGAAACTTGGCAAGACCTCATCTCTACTATAAATCAAGAAATTAGCTGGGTGTGGTGGCACATGCCTGTAGTTCCAGCTACTTGGAAGGTTGAGGCATAAGGATCACTTTAGTCTTGTAGGTCGAGGCTGCAGTGGCCATGAGTGTGCCACTGCACTCAAGCCTGAGCGACAGAGTGAGACTCCAACTCAAAAAAAAAAAAAAGTACGTCAGAAAATCAGGATGATTGATGGGTAGAGAGGTAGAGAGATAGTTATGTGATAAAATAAAATCTGTGTCATAAAATGTTAATTATAGATGGTGGGCATATGGATATTGGGTGTTTGCTGTACAGTTCTTTCAATATTATTATTATTATTTTATTGCACAGGTTTTATTTTAGTTTGGTTTGTCTTTTATAAGACCTAGTCTCAATATGTTGCCCAGGCTGGCCTCAAATTTCTGGGCTTCAACAATCCTCCCCTGCCTGAACCTCCTGAGTAGCTAGGGCTACAGTCACTGCACTCAGCTTTGATTTTTTTTTTTTTTTTTTTTTTTTTTAGTTGTAGTCTCACTCTGTCGCCCAGGCTAGAGTGCAGTGGCATGCTCATGGCCACCACAGCCTTTACCTGCTGGGCTCAGGCGATTCTTCCGCCTCAGCCTTCCAAGTAGCTGGAACTACAGGCACATGCCACCTCACTTGGGTAATTTTTCTATTTATTGTAGAGACAAGGTCTTACCATGTTGCTCAGACTGGCCTCGAACCCCTGAGCTCAGGCAATCCTCTTATCTCTGCCTCCCAAAGTGCTGAAATTATAGGCTTGAGCCACTGTGCCCAGCCAGCTTTGATTTTTTTTTTTTTTTGAGTTGGAGTCTCACTCTGTCACCCAGACTGGAGTGCAG